CACTCCTCGGAAGGAAGGTTGGGCAATCCTACTTCCGTAGTGATACTGCCTCGGAAACCCAAGGAGGGGTCGCAATGAGTCAGGGCTGACTCGACGGCACATAACAACAACAACATAACAAAGGGGGCCATGTTGAGGATTCTGTGCTTTATACTGAGACACTGCAGCATTTTCAGCAGGAACTGCAATGATCTGATTTGTGTTGCATGGGAGAATGGAGAGTAAAACATGGAAGGAAGGTACAATTCTTCCTTGTGGGAGTCTTGGAAGGTAAGAAAGAGAAGTTGGTCATTTCTAACTATAAGCCTTGGTATCGCTTTCACACCATCCTACTAATGCTCTAATTAGGGGTTCTACTCCCACCCCCATTCTGAAGGGCCTTTCTCCTCCTGCTAGGTCAACAAGAATCAGACAAGGAAAAGAAGAAGATGGGAGGACACAATTATTTCCTTCTTCCCATATGTTGTCTCCTCCTTTTCACTCACATTCATCTCTTCTCACCTCCATAGATTCCCTCTTCCTCAAGCACCATCTCACATGCATAAAACTGAAAGAGAAAAGGAAGTTGATTAGTAACCACCTCTTTCTCTATTCTTTCTACTACTCTGGAGTTCATCTGTCGTCACTGATGAGAAGAGAATGATTACTGAACCCAAGACAAGAGAACCCAGATTCTTAGAGCTAGGCAAGACCACTAGAATCATCTAGCCCAACACTTCCTTTTCCTTTTCTTCCATTTTATTTATTTATTTAAGTCAGCTGCTTATTTCTCCCAGGGAGACTGGAAAAGCTTCACTGAGAAGAAAGTGTTTCGGCTGTCTTTGAAGGTGAGACTTGTAACCAGAGATGGGAAGAAGTCTGTGAAAGTGCTGTAGAAAATGGTGGAGAAGGAACAAGTAGAAGGTAAAGAGCAGTGCTGGAGACAGGGTTCTGTTTAGGAACCTCTAGTAACATAGGTCCCAGGAAACATGTCTGGAGATACAGCCTTCAGAGACAATGGCATATATATCATAGTTAAAGTGGATGGTTTGTCCAAGAGAAAAGAATGCAGAGTGAGAAGAGAGATAAGGATGGGACTGTAGGGAACAGCAAAATTAAAAGGCTATTCAATGCAAGACAGAGAAGATACCAGAAAGGCAGTGGCAGGGGAAAATAGTACCACTATATGTCACAGGAGGAGCCCTGGTGGTGCAGTGGTTAAGTGCTTGGCTGTTAGCCGAAAGGTTGGTGGTTAGAACCTACCAGCTGCTCCACAGGAGAAAGATGTGGCAGTCAGCTTCTATAAAGATTATAGGTTAGAAACCCTATGGGCCAGTTCTACTCTGTTCTGTAGGGTCTCTATGAGTCAAAATTGGCTTGGCAGCAACAGGTTTTATAATAGGTGGTTAGAGTTTCCAAGAAGAATGGGCAATTGTTTCAAATGCCATCAGGGTTAAGTACAATGAGCATTAAATAGACATCACTGAATTTGATGATGAGATTATATAAAAAGATGAAAGTGGAGGTCAGGCAGCAGAAGCAATGACTGCAGACAACTCTTCACAGAAGCCTGGCCATGAAAGAAAGGAGATCCCGTCATACAGAGAGGAGATGAAGAAGGAAAAACAGTTTAGAAGGGACCAGACATAGTTGAAGACAGAAGAGAGACTCTATCTGATGAAGCATGATAGTGGAGAAGGCAGGCCAAGATGGGGCTAAGAGCATGGGTGAAACAGCTGGTCTTAGAGGACAGTATCTTCTCCTCCTTTAAGACAAGTGAGAAAAGGATGAACTATTTGGAGATACTAAAAAGGAAAGTTGAGGGCATTTACATCCAATAATGATAGGTAATGTTTATTAATGATTTAATCTGTGCTAGACATTGTTCTTAGTGCTTTATAAGGATAACCTGTTTTAATCCTAATAATGATTCTGAGGTGTGAAAGATTAATGCTATGTGAACTTTACTGTTACACAGCAGAATCCCATTTATTCCTCACTCATTTCTGCCAGCAAAACTGAAATCTATAGACCTACTTTTTTTATTGTGATATGAGTGAAAAGTTTACAGAGCAAAGTCTTTTTCCATACAATAGTTAATACACATCTTGTTTCATGACATTGACTGCAATCCCCATAATGTAGCAGCTCTCTTCCTACTTCCTCCCTGTGGTTACCTTTTCCCTGTGTCCTTTCCTAAGCATTTTTGCATTCTAATCTATCTCCCTGTGCAAACATTGCCCTTCTGATCTCCCATGATTGATTGTTCTAAGGAGTGCACCTACCTGGTGTAATTGTTCACCTTATATGCCTGTCTATTGTTTGGCTGGAAGCTACAGGAATGAGTTTAATTCTAGGCTTGAAGAGTGACTGGGGCCATAGTCTCAGGGGTCTCACCACGCTCTATCAGACCAGTAAACCTGGTTTTTTCTTTTTTCTTTATGATTTTGAGTTTTGGTCCACATTTTTCTCCCACTCTATCCAAGATCTCCTACACTGATCCCTTTCTGAGCCGATAGTGGTAGCAGGGCACCATCTAGTTCTTCTGATCTCATGCTACCGACCTGCTTTTAACTTTTTCTTTTCTTTGCCAGTTCACTGACATTAAATGTGTTCATCATGCTGTTCAACCATCACCAATCCCAAATTTTTCCATCACCCTTAACAGAATGCTCTTAACTTTTAATGCTAACTAATGAAATTTCAGAGCCTTGTCTGAAAACTTCCAACCCTCATAATTAAAAAGAGTAATCTCAGGAAGAGATAAAGAGATGTCACCTCTTCTCTAATGCTACTGAAAGAGGAATATTCCTATGGCATAAAATTAGGTCAAAGAATCTGATTAGATTGGATCTTAAATGGAGAACATATATAAGAATATCAATTGTGTGTTTCTGTGCAACATGAGGCGTGTAGGATCCTTCAAAACAATTACCAAGTTGTTCTACCCCTTATTAATACAAATCTGCCCTTGGAAGCATAATTTGGAAAAAAAAAATTAAAAAAAGCATTGGGGGAGGAGTCTGTAAGACTCCAAACGCTTCAGAAATTATTACCATGGTTCATTTAATAATATTTAAAAGTAACCTGTAGTTCTGCAACAGGTCTCTCCTCGTCAAGAAGAAAGAAGAAAACCAAAATTAATGGAAACAATCAGTCCTAGCGACTGGTACACCATCCGATCTGCAACCTATACAACCATGAGACCAGAAGAACTAGATGGTGCCCAGCTACCACTGCCATCCACTTGGAAGGGATGTAGGAGATCCTGCATAAAGAGGGAGAACAATGTGGAACAAAACTCAAAATCATTTGGAGGCAAAAAAAAAGAAGGTGGGGACCAGGTTTGCTGGTCCAATAGAGCCTGGTGTAACCACTGAGACTATGGCCCCTAGCTGCCCTTCAGGTCTGGAATTGAACCCACAACTGTGGTTTCCAGCCAAACAAAGTACAGGCAAATGAGTTAAACATTTACCTCAAGTAGACACATGCCCTGGAGAGAACAATTATGGGAGAAGGAAGGGCTGCTTATGCACAGGGAGATAGCTCAGGGTGCAGAAGAGTATGAAGGGATGGACACTGGGAGGAGGTAACTATGGGGAGGAAGTGGGAGGGGAGCTGCTGCATTGTAAATTTTGGTCAATGACATGAGACAAAGTATATGTGAACTGCTGTATGAAAAGTGAATTTACTCTGTAAATCTTCACCCAAATCCTAATAAAAAAAAAAAAAAAAAAAAAGTAACCTGTAGTTCTGACTGGTTATCTAACTCAGTAATTTCTTCCCCAAATAATAACGTTATTAATTACGTTATTAATATTTTTGTAGTCCTAAACAGGATAAATATTTGTAAGATTGCTCTACCAATCTTCAAATGATCTTCAGAGGAAGCACTGGCTCTTTCCTCTTATTCTTTTTCCATGATGAGAAAACAACAGAAGCCTATGATTCTACTAGGTTTGTTTGTTTTTTTAAATTTTATTTTAACAAAGACTGAAAGTCTTATCTCATTTAAATTAAAAGAGATAAGTAGTATTATCACTCCAGTTTATAGCTGAAAAAAACCAAGACCCAGAGTAGTTAAGTAACTTATCCAAAATCACACAGGTAGTGAGAGCTAAAGCAAGCATTTGTCCCCAGATAGTCTGGCTTTAAAGTCTTCCATCTTAGCTACTGCTTCTATTTTCTCTAAGGTTTTCTTAGAAAAACTGAAAAGAAATAAATTTTTGCTCTTTCAACTTCAATTTATACCTGCTCTAAGAGTGGCATACACTACTTGATATAGCTTTATAGGTCTATAGCTGGCAATGTAAAAGCCTAGTACATCATTCTTTCCAATTCATGAGATTAAGGATGACCTATGATGCACCTAGCAGATATAGAAGTAAGAAGGGAGGTGACTGGAATCAAGGAACTGAGATAGTATGACAGATCACCAAATAATCACTGAAGTCATTGAGGTAAAGATGGAAGACACTTAGCCTAACTCTGCTAAATCACTGTGTGACCATGGGCTTCAATTTCCTTATCTGCTCAAAGCTGAGATGCAGTAAAATGGTTTCTAAGGCTCCCTTCTTGTATAAGAAATACCTTTTCCAAAATAAGTGGTATTCTTTCAGTAACCCAGCAGCAGCCCAGCTACAATCCTTGGATGAGCATATGTAGGGGTATGAATGTGAGTGTATATGTGCTGATGATTTACTTTACTTAATAAGAATTCCTGATATAGGGAGAAAATCAATGAAAAGCCGTAACATTGCATACCATTATTGTGCAGGTGTTTGTGATAGAAGGATGTCATGGATTGAACTGTGTACCCCAAAAATATGCCTCAACTTGTCTGGCTCACGATTCTCAGTATTATGGAATTATCCTCCATTTTGTGATCTGATGCACTTATCCTATGTGTTGTAAATCCTCACCTCTATGATGTTAATGAGGCAGGATTAGAGGCAGTTATGTTAATGAGGTAGGGTGCAATCTATAGGATTAGGCAGTATCTTAACTCAATCTCTTTGGAGAAATAAAAGAGATTAAACAAGCAGAGAATGGAGGAACCTACTACCACCAATAAAGAAGAGGTGGATATGAAGTATGTCCTAGACACAGGGGGAAGATTGATACTAAGACACATGGAAATCTCCAAGGAACATCAGACCAACAATGCTGAAAGGGGACAAGGATCTTCCTACTAAACTGTGAAAGAACAGAGAAAAAGTCTTTCCTTACAACTGGCACCCTGCATTTAAATGTCTAGCCTCCTAAACTGTGAGAGAATAAATTTCTGTTTGTTAAAACCATTCACTTGTACTGGACACCATGCGATCTGCAGCCTATACGACTATGAGACCAGAAGAACTAGATGGTGCCCAGCTACCACTGTCAACCACTTGGAAGTGGATCTGTGTAGGAGATCCTGGATAGAGAGTGAGGACAATGTAGAACAAAACTCAAAAATCATTTGGAGAAAAAAAAAGGAGGGGACCAGGTTTGCTGGTCCAATAGAGCCTGGTGGAACCACTGAGACTATGGCCCCTAGCTGCCCTTCAGGTCTGGAATTGAACCCACCTGTGGTTTCCAGCCAAACAAAAGACAGGGATATGAGTTGAACATCTACCTGAGGTAGATACACTCCTTGGAGAGAACAATCATGGGAGAAAGAAGAGCTGTTTATGCACAGGGAGACAACTCAAGGGGCAGGAGTGCATGGAGGGATGGACACAGGGAAGAGGTAACTGTCAGAAGGAAGTGGGAGGGGAGCTGTTGGATTGTGGTAAATTGTGGTCAATGTCATGAGACAAAGTGTATGTGAACTGCTGTACGGAAAGTGAATTTGCTCTGTAAATTTTCACCCAAATCACAATAAAAAAAAAATCCGCTTGTGGTATTTTTGTTATAGCAATACTAGATGACTAAGACAAAGAGATACATGGCAGGTTCTACTTCAGAAATGAGTATCTTTTCATTTAAAGAAATCTATGTAGAGGCTACCTCTCACAATTCGACAGTATTTCAGTTGGGGTCAGTACAATGAAAAACCCTCTGCTTAACAATTAGGGATACATTAAGGAAAAGACAGTGCCATGTATTTTTCTTTTTTCCAGCCACATAAAATTTGCTTTGAGGAAGTCAGAGCTATTGGCTCCATACCCCTTCCTAGTCCTGAATCCTATTCTACCTTAGCCTAATTGCACCAAGATCCAAACTCACCTTCTGAGGGCTGAAGATCACTTTGTATTTTCGAGTCCGGCCAGCCAATTTGTCAGTATTGACAAGATCTACAGAGAGAAAGAATGCACCTCAGAAAGCCAATGGTCATTTGCTAGACTAGAAGCAAGGAAGCAGATATCCTCTACAAATGATATGGCCAACCTGAATACTTCTTTTCTTATTAAAGGGTCCTTGTAGCCAAAGTTCCTTAGATCTTGCTCACCCTTTCCCAGGTCTTAGCTATAATGTGGCACCATGGCATACTCACTGGCAATGTATCTCATATTCTTGATGCGGGGTCTGACCAAGAAGCACAATCTATGGGAAAAAAGCAAACGGAAGAAGAAAAAAACAAAACTCAGTGAAGAAAAATCATGAAGTTGGTGATAGCAGCTTAGAAAAAACTGAAATAATACCAACTCTTTCACCAGTTGTCCTTCTTGACAGGGCCTACGATTCTCATCCTAACCAAAGTATGCCAACTCTTGTGGCCTACCATATACCAGCCATAGACAATATCCCTGAATTCAACAGATATACTTGGTGTGGTGAGCTGGGGGCATTTACTGTTCTACTGTGGACCTAGAAGTTCCTGCTCTTAAATCATTTATAATCTAATAAAAAGTAAAATGTACCTATGTATGGAGTATATTAACAATCTAGGGCTAAGAAAATAATACAAAAAAGTAATAGAAAATGTTCTTTTAAATTGGGGTCCATGGATGTTTTCTCCATAGATATATTCTCCATGAATCCAGGAGAATATTATTTTTCCCTCTAAGAGAGGATGAATATTACCTAAGAAATAATGCAAATAAATAAATAAATAAATAAAACTAGGTAACATAAGCAGTGCGTGACTGTGTGCCAGCTGACAAGGACAAATATTAAACACCAAGGAAACCTAGGGAAAAGAAACCCACTGCCAGTGAGTTGATTCCAACTCACAGCAACTCTCAAAGGGTTTCCAAGTCTGTAAATCTTCCTCCCACAGAGTAGCTGGTGGGTTTGAACTGCCAACCTTCAGGTTAGCAGCCAAATGCCTTGCCCACTGCACTATCAGAGCTCCTCAATGGGAGGAGAAAATGACCCTGGACTGGAAAGGCAAAAAAGAGCTTCATGGAGGAGGTGGGCTGGCCTCTGAGGAAGGGGTATTCTTCCTCAGAGTGCCCAAAAGGGCAAAGGTACATGCACACTGTGGAGGTCTGAGGGGGAACATGCGAGAGACAAGGCTAGGAAAGCGGTGTGAGGTCACACTAAGAAAGCCCTGGACTCTGTAATGAACAAATAGGACTTTACTTGGTAAGTCACAGAAAGTCTTGAAGGTTCTTGAGATGAGCAGGATGGAAATATTTTTAAAAGGTTATTCTGGTTCTAAATGGTAGCTTCGAATACAGAGGGAAGAGGACAAGGGTAGAAGAAACTGCAGAAAGAGATATCAATCAAGAGGTGTTATGGATTGAATTGTGTCCCCAGAAAGTATGGGTTGTAAATATCCTAACCCTTATACCTACAGTTATAAAGAACTCTGGTGGCAGTGTGCGGTGTAGTAAATTACTTAGTGTGGCTTTTCTACCCATAAGTCTTTGTAAACTCCAAGGTGGGAATTGCTATTAGCAACTGAGGAGATCCTGATTTTAAAGTCGCCCACCTGGGTTATTTCTGTTGGGCGTGGCACAATACAATGTTCTGGGAGGTTCTCACTCTCTCTCACGTGCTTAGAGTTCTGATGCTGTGATTGGCTAGTTTGACCACCCTTCCGGGAGCAAAAGGAGGCCTCTTGGAGGCAGAACTCTCTCTGATTGCTGGTGGAGGAAGACATGCTGCTGAAAGAGACACGCACCCCTGAAAGAGACACGCACTGCTGGGAAAGAGACGCAAGAGACATGCATCGCTGAGTGAGACACCGAGGGACCAGCACTGCTGGGAAAGAGACTGTGAGAGACTGTTGGCTGAGGGACGGTGGGCTGGGAGAGAGACTGAGCGTTCTTCCTGAACTTGAGTTGTAGCCTGGTGCTTCCCTAATAAACCCTGTAATCTGTGAGTTCTGTGTGGCCACTGCAGTGAATTATCGAACCCAGGAGAGAGGTGGTGGGTGCCTTGGGAGGAACGGTTGGTGAAAGGGCTGGAGGGAGGCAGCATGTCTGGCCTTGCAGTAATAGGCCTTGGGTTACTGCTGGTAATCCTGCCTTCCCCTTGTAGGGTTAGAGGAGGTCAGAACATGTGGCCTCCTTGTCGTTTTTGCACAGTGGTTAAAACATTTGGTTGCTAACCAAAAGGTTGGTGGTTAGAACCCACCAGCCATTCCTCAGGACAAAGATGAGGTAGCCTGCATCCATAAAGATTTTCAGCCTTGGAAACTATAAGGCAGTTGTACTCTATCTTCTATAGTCACTATGAGTTGGAATCAACTCCATGGCAATGGGTTTTGGTTATACCTGTGGTTACAATCCCATTTGGGGATGAGTTTTCTTTGTTACGTTAATTTGGTAGTATTAGTATGGGGTGTGTCTTAAATCAATCTATTTTGAGATATGAAAAAACAGATTAAGCAAGCAGCAAGAAAGCACAGATGGGAAAAGACAGATGTCATGCTACATGAAATCTCCAAGGAATTAAGAAACAGAAGCTGAAGAGACAAGGACCTTCCCCCAGAGCTAACAGAACAGAAAGCCTTCCCCTAGAACCAGCACCCTGAATTTGGACTTCTAGCCTCCTAAACTGTCAGAAAACAAATTTCTGTTTGTTAAAGCCACTCACTTGTGGTATTTCTGTTAAGGCAGCACTAGATAACTAAGAAAAGAGACTAAATCAGTAATATAGGGATGAAATTGTAAAAGTTCAAGGAAGTAAACTATATCATAAACACCATAAGGCCACATCTTAACCATGGTACAGATCGAAGTCAAATGTGGAGGGACCCCCTTCAGCTTGGAGCCATGCTCCCAGACACTCACTGTTCATTGCAGCTGAGGACTGGCTTGTTCTCCACCTTGTATAGCTTGTCCACTTCATGTTGCTACAGAGAGAATCCAACAATACAACAGATGTAAGAGTGTTTGAAAAGCACAAAGCTTAATACAAAGATGAGGAAATCTATAATGGCTTCTTATTTATGCTAATGCTAGGAATCAAACTGCTCTGACAACCATCCCACTGAACTTTCCTCAAACTGTCAATAAGGAAACCAAAAATAAAATACAAAATAACCCCAACAGCATCAATTCCCCTTTGTCCACCCAATTTAGCTATCCTATATTTATCATAATGGTTGTCACTCCTCAGTAATTCCAGCTGTTCACACAAAAAACCCTGCTAATTAAAGAGGACAGAAGTACATGAGTCCATCTCGGAAAAAGGGCAGGTACCTTCAGGATGGAGACATTGGCAATTCGATCCAAAGGGCTCATCAGATCTGCCTCAATGAACAAATCCTTTTTTCCAGGGAGCTGAAGAAGACACAGTATACTGGGTCACTTATAGGTCACACAAGCTTCCTCAACTGAGAATTCATCCAGTTATCCATTTAATAGAATCACAGTTTCTGAGCTGGAAGGGCACTAGACAACATCTAGCCCAGCACCTTGTTGTCTGTAGCCACAGTTGACATTTCCCTGTACAGTCTTTGCATTGACATTTCTCTGCATACTCACCTATTTTGCTTTCTTCTCATTTTCTGTACCAGTGGGAAGATATTCCTCCTCCTTTCTAAGGTTAACTCCTCCAGCTGTGGTGGTCACCCAACCCTCCTGCTCACCTGTGACCTTGTTCTGCATCACTGCTCCTCTTCTCCACTGTCTCCTCCACTCTGCCTCCCAACAGTGCCTGGTCTCCTCTTGTTGAACAAAGCCAAACAAAACCAGGTCTCATCTTGCATGCTGCAACCCCCTCAATAAACTGCTAAATATCACCTTACATAAAAATTTTCTTCTAATTACAAAAATAACTATGCTCAATGCAAATAACTTAGAAAACTGAGGACAGTCTTCACCCTGTCTATCACCCACCCTGTCATCTGATTCCTAATTCCTATGTCATCACTCCTGACACTGCTCTCTTCTGTCCAGAGGAAGGAGAGGTCCCATTCAGTGACAGAGAGGATGAAATCATCAGAAATTTCCTCTCAACTAGGCCTTGACAAGTGAGTAGGGTGTTAACAGTGATATATTAAGAGGGCTATCCAGATGGAGATAACAACAGAGGCCAGGGAAAGATAATAGGCAGAATGGTAAGGGCATGACAAGCAATTCAGTTTGGCTAATGCATAAAGTAGGAGCTCTGGTAGCATAGTGCCTAAGGCACTTGACTGCTAACTAGAAGGCTGTTGCTTCAAACCCAGCAGCCACTCCTCAGAAGGAAGGTTGGGCAATCTACTTCCGTAGTGATACTGCCTCGGAAACCCAAGGAGGGGTCGCTATGGTTGGGTCTGACTCGATGGCACATAACAACAATGCATAAAGTACTTAGAGGGCCCTGGTTCTCAATCAGAGGTGGTTTTGCCCCCTAGAGAACATCTGGCAATGTCTGGAGCCATTTTTGGTTGTCTGACTCTGGGGTGGGAGGGTGTTGCTGGCATCTAGTGGGTAGAGGTAGTTGTTGTTGTTATGTGCTGTCACGTCAGACCCATAGCAACCCCTCCTTGGGTTTCCGAGGCGATACCACTACAGAATTAGATTGCCCAACCTTCCTTCTGAGGAATGGCTGGTGGGTTTGAACCGCCAGCCTTCTGGTTAGCAGTCAAGTGCCTTAGGCACTATGCTACCAGAGCTCCTAGATGCTGCTAAATATCCTACAATGCCAAGGAAAGCCTACCACAACAAAGAATTAACCAGTCCAAAATTTCAAAAGTGCTGAGGCTGAGAAATCTTGAGGAATGGTGGGGAAACAGGAGACGAGGACAAGAACATGGTGGGTCTCAATGCCAGACTAGGGAGCTTGGACTTGATCCTCTATGGCAGAGGTGAAAATGGAAAGCTTTTGTGCCTTAAGAATTCCAATCAGCTGTGCATTTTAGTTAGAGATACATGAAATATGTAATACAAATTTTAAATACCTGAAGGAAATTAAAAGTGGTTGTATGATGGTGAGCTGAAGTGATTATTTTTTAAAAACCTTCTCTTACCTTCTAAATTTCCTATAATGGGAAACTGTTACTTTGTAATCATAAGTCACTTGCTCTGTAAGCTTTCACCCAAATCACATTAAAAAAAAAAAAAAAGTCACATACAAGAAGAATCTGTAGGACCCAACAACTGGTTAGGTTAAGAATCAAACACTATTCTGAGGTTTCAAGACTGAATAACAATGTCTGTAATAAGAATTAAGTCAGAAATTTGTTTGGGGGGGGATATTACTACATTGAGATCCACTTTGGCCATGCTGAGTCACCCTGCTGGCTCTTCTTCATCACCTATCCTCCACTGACAAATTTCTGTCCTTGGTCTCATCAACCCTCTCCATGTTGATCTCACCTGAACTAGTGTCTTTAACTAGCACCTCTATGCAGTCCCTAAGATATTTGTTGAGTGTCTTTTATGTGCACATCACTGGGCTAGCAATATAGAATATTTAAAAGAGAAATAAAATATGGTCACTAATCCCCTGAGGTTCCTTGAAGGATCTCCTAAGTCTCTATCTTCATCCCAGCCTCATGATAGAGCTACAGCTCTCCATTTCTATCGGCTGGATGTGATAAACTACATTTCCCCCTGACATCTTAACTTCATCTATCTAAACCCAAACTAATCCACTTCCCTTACCAAACCTGTTTCTTTAATTTTTTTCATTATCACTCAATGTTCATGAAACAAATATTCATTAAGCACATGCTATGTGCTTGACTCTAAGCTGGGCATATAGCATTGGGCAAAACAGGTATGTTCCCTGTCTTCATGTAGCTTGCAAACTAGTGGAACATGGACATTAAATTAATAACTATACAGGTATGCAGTGTTTTAACATTCAACACACAGTCTGTGAAATAGGACATTATGTGATATGGAAATGGAATTAACACTATATTATACACAATGTCCAAATTATATAACATCTGAAGTCACATGGCCTGTCTGGAGCCAGGCCTGAGCCTAGTGGCTGGTCTATGCAGCTACTATGCTCTCCAAGATCTTGCCCTGCTCCATGGGCACAGAGCTCCCAGTTGGGAAGAGGGGGTGGAAGAGTGTTTGTTCTTGATCTGGTGTCCCTCCCCTCTTCAGCTGCTGCAGCAGCGGAGGCTGGAACTTGAACTCAGAGCAAGGGTCTACAGCCATATGAGCTGAAGGGGATTCCACCCTCAGACCCCTACTTCCACTCAGACAGCAAGAACAGGGGTCCTGGAGATCCGGCAAGATGGCGGACTAGGTAGAAAGACTGCACAGACCCTCTTCAACAAAGAAAAGGGAAACCAATTAACACAGACACAGAAGATAATCCTGGATGCCTGAGCCTTGAAGGGAAGGATATAGAAGTGGAATAAACCCCAACTAGCAGAAGAATTTGCATGAAAATACCCAAAAAGGAGACAGACGGAGCTGCAGTCTGGCAGCAATCCTGAAGGCACAGACAGCTTGGAGATCCCCGAGTGATGATAGGACCTAAGAATTAACCTAAAAATCACCCTGCTAGCCAGGGACTGCACGGAGGACTGTGCACGGTGGCTGGGGAACAAACGGAGAAGGTGAAGAGAAAGGTGAGCTGAGCTGTGGACTTTTGCCAGTCCAGAGGACACCGCCATTTTGAAGGTTTAAAAAGCAGCGTGACTATTTTGAATATTGAAAGAGACAGTGCTCTTGCAGATTCCTGGGGCTTAAGAACACATTCTGCTTTCCAGCAACCCAAAGGACACTCGGACCTGCAACACTGACAAGTTAACAGAGATCTAAATACAACGCCACATGCCTCGGAAACAACAGACCATCACAGTCCACACAAAGAAGCAGGATAAAGTGGTAGAAACAAGGGAGCAGGATACAGACCCAGAACACATCCCTGAGGAAGAAGCAGCA